ACTCAACCTTGGGTTCCCTATCACCAGCTTTCCTGTCCCCTCCTGCCTTCTAGTCCTTGTCCCTGGACTGCTGTGCCTCATTAGTCCCGTTTTGTAAATCATTTATTTTCAAAGGAGCTGACCATTGTAAAGTTCTAGAATTTGATATCTGCCTTTTTATAGTACGCACCAACTTACTTTTAAGTTCCTACCCAAGTTCCTAACAGCTCTGGACACTTTAGGATTTAGCTCATTGTTATGTTTCGTGATCTGATAAACAGAAGAGCCCCATAACAATAAACGGGTTTTCTCACGTACAAAAAATACACTGATATATTAAAATCCTTTTTTCTTGTTTGCTTCTCTAGTTTTTACCTGTCCTCTGAGGCAGTTGGGCGAGCAGGTGTTTGTAGTGGAGTGTGTATTTCATTAGAGCAAAAGTTGTCTGATAGCAGGTCATCTCCTTCAAGCTCCCTGCAACAGCAGGACCTGCCGTGAATTACTTCCATGTTTCTTGACCAAAAAGGCACCGACCTGGAAAAGAAAAAGAGGGAACACTTGGTTCGGGAGTCAACCGACTTGGTCACAACTCTCAGGGCAGGCAGGAGAGAGGCTTTGTATTGCTGAACTGTTCAACCCAATGCAGCATGGAAATCAGGGGCTTTCTTCCTCACCAGAAGCCTGTCTATGGATGGACTGGACTCTCAGATGTCACTGCAGGAATAAAGAGCAATTTAACCAATTTCTATGGAAATGAATTTCAACTGAAAAAACTCTACAACATATTACATGTTTTTAAATGGACTCTCACCTCTACATGGACAACCTGTAGGTCCATACAAGGCCGCTATTTAGCGGGCATCGACTGAAATTCAATTCTTGCCTCAAATTTAAGTCAACTATTCAAGAAAACTCAGCTGATCTCCCCTGCCCCTGCCTTCCCACACCCCCCGCCCCCGTGGCCTTTCCAACAAGCAAGATCAAGAGCTGTGCTTCTAAAAGGCTTTGGGGGATTGTGAACAAGAATTCCACGACACAGAGGCAGGCCTCAAACACTGGGGCCCAAACGGAATTCCTGGGTCCTGATTACTTGGGTAAGAATCCCACCCCTCCCTTGGACTGGGTGGGAAAGACCAAGAGGTGCCGCGGCGAGGACCGCAGGCCCCGGGAGGTGGGGCCGAGCCTCCCGGGCCATCATCGCCCTGGCGGGCGGTGCCACAGAGATTTGGATGCACCTGGAACATCAGTCTGGAAGCGGCAAGTGACCTCGCCTCTCTTTCCCCTCCCCAGAGATGATGGGCCTCCGCGGGGCGTGGAATTCGGCGGACGACCGCACCTGCGGCCCCGGGGAGCTTGCGGGCAGGTGCGGGTGAGGGAGAGAGAGGAAGCGCGGGCGGGCCGGGGGTGGGGCTCAGGGTGCCTGTGACGGCGACCGTGACCGTGGCACAATGCATCGCTGCGCAGGGGCGGCAGGCTTCGGGGTGGCGGGCGGCCCTTACAGGCCTCAGACAGAAGCAGCCCGGGAGCTCTGAGAGACGCAGTATCAGAAGCGGAAGCGGAAGTGAGCAGAGAGTGTGAAATGCGCCGTCCAGCGGCGAAACGTGCTCTTCCATCTCTACCCGGCCCTTCGCCTCGGCCCCGGCTCCTCGCCGCGCTCCCGGGCGCTCTCTGGCGGCCGCGGCTGTCTCATTTTCTCCTTCGAGGTGCCGAGTCTAGCTGTATGGGAGTATGGTGGGGTTCTCTCCTCTGGACTGAGTGGAGGAAGAACCTACTGGAGACAGACTTGTGAATTCGGTGATATTTGCCTTTATCTCTGACACCTTTAAACATCTTCCCCCACCCCGCCCCACTTTTCCCTTAGAAGTCCACCCTAGCCTATTTGCTCCTGGGTGTTCAGGATCTCCCATTAAATTCGCTGTCAGCCTAGCCCATTTCATATCCCCAGCCTTTCAGTACTTCCATACTCCACCTTTCCCCATGCTCAACTTTAGCCCCATTTCCTCATGGTTTGATTCTTTTTAGGAGGTCATAACTAAAAAACAAACAAAAACCCCAAACCCACTGCCCTCTAGTCGATTCCGACTCATAGGGACCCTGTAGGACAGAGTAAAACTGCCCCATAGGGGGAGCCCTGTAGGACAGAGTAGAACTGCTCCATAGGGTTTCCAAGGCCGTAATCTTCATGGAAGCGGAGCGCCACATCTTTCTCCCGTGGAGCGGCTGATGGGTTCCAGCCGACCTTTCGGTTAGCAGCGGGGCACTTAACCACTAGCCATGAATATAATAGATTTAATCAGAGGCAACTGGTGATGCACGTATAGCCATATGTTAGTATGTCCCTGGATGGTAGCGACACCAGGGGAAGTTGTGGCAACCCACGCTTAATTGAGCATGGTGTGTGATTATAGCTTCCAGGTCCTAGTGGGTTTGAAATTTTATTTCAGGTGAAATGAATATAAATGGTCGGGAAATTAATTTTATTTTTGTCATTTTTCAAATAAAGTTTACAGACAAGAGAAAAATCATTGCCACATCTTTGTAAAACAATTGCTCTCTATTTGGAAAATGCCTCCCCATCGGAAAGGTTCTCTGGGATGTCAGGATTGGGTCTATTTGTTTGACCAACATTCCTTATCCTTAGCTTTCCTTGCCCCACCAGCAGGTTATGTGTATGTGACCCTAATAACACAAAGTAGTCTCCTATCCAAGGATGTTCAAAATGATGGACTTCTTAGGCATATTCCAGCCAGTGGGGTCAGCTGCTGCAGAACACCTTCTTTCTACTTCTCCTGACCATTGACCTCTTTTTTACTACCTCATTTACTTTTTGTATCACTAGTAATCCTTCAAGCAGGGAAGATGAAATTTGGGCATGAAAAAAATGTATGCATGGGATATTTACCGTGTCTGGATTGACAAAAATTCTAAACCACAGCTAGGCCTTTAACCTTCAAGTGAAGAATATGTAGGAAATTTATAAAAAATGTAAAGCATGAATGATATGCTATAATTTTTCTTTTAAGTTTGTGTATAGTGACCTTTAACCAAATGGTCTCTGAAAATAAATAAAATGAGTTTTTGAGCCACTCAGTTCTTCTTGGCAGATACCAGTATTTTCTTAATGAAAATATTTGCGGCCTGATTCCTTGTATAGAAGATGAAGTGGCAAACCACTTTCAGTGACTTTAAAGTATGCATTTTTTTTTTTAAACAGCAAAACTTAAAACCTCATTGATTCTAGTGTTTGTATTTACTTACTAGGATGACAATTAAAATATATTCTAAACCTGTTGGCTGTGAGTCGATTCTGACTCATAGTGACCCTATAGGACAGAGTAGAACTGCCCCATAGGGTTTCCAAGGAGCGGCTGGTGGGTTCAAACTGCTGACCTTTTGGTTAGCAGCTGAGCTCTTTACCAGTGTGCCACCAGGGCTCCAGAATATATTCTACTTGCTTTAAAATTAAACTACAAATGAGTTAAATGACATTTTAGTGTTAAAATTTTGACTTGAATAGCTTAAGGGGCTATGTTGTCATGTAGCAATGAACATTGAAATGACATAGGTACATACATTTATAAAACTTATTTATTTAGTACATTGTCCCTAGTTGCCTAAAAAGTGTCAGGGATTGTTCCAGAAGGAAGGAAACGCGGGGCACTTGCAGTCTATGGGGATGTGGGGTAGTGAGCAGTCATAATCCAATGAGCTAAGTGCTACACTGAGGGACAAGCACAGTTGCTTTAGGAGCCATAGGTACCTCAGTAAGCTTCCGCCATTGTGACAGGAGAAAAAAAGACAAGGATGGGTGGGCTTGCAAGTTAACTTCTAAACTGGGGAGGGGGCTGGCTCAGGAAGTTGAAAAAGGTAAAGTAGAATTCAGATCCTTTGTTGGGAGTGAGGAAAGAGTTGTTGGGGTAGAAGGCAGGCATAGTGGAGGAGATTTGAAATCGTTGCTGTGGGGAAGGAGAGTGCTGTTAAAAGAAAATAATAAATACCGTATACATCCAAAACCAAACCCGTTGCTGTTGAGTTGATTCTGACTCATAGTGACCCTATAGCACAGAGTAGAACTGTCCCATATGGTCTCCAAGGAGCACCTGGTGGATTTGAACTGCTGACCTTTCTAGTTAGCAGCCTGAGCACTTAACCACTTCGCCACCAGGGCTCTGTCATTTATATAGTGTTGCTTAACTTTACAGTTTTCATGGTTACCTCATTTGAGCTAATAGCTTTGTTAAATAGGTGTAGGCGGTGTAATGTAGAGGAGTTGCAGGTTAACTTGGGGCTCCTCAAGGCACTGAACCAACAGGTAAAGAAGGATTTTACTGTACTGACTGGAATAATTGACTTCAATTACAAAGGGGAAGTGGGTTGCTGCTGTAGAGTAGGGGCAGGCAGGATTCTGAGGATTCTCTGGGATTTCCTGGCATGCCTTTGGTTACTTCTATATTCAGTGATAAGAATTAATGGAAATCTATAGCAGTAGTCAAGAAATCAAACAACACATTGATTGGGCAAATCTGCTGCAAAAGACCTCTTTAAAGTGTTGAAAAGCAAAGATGTCACCTTGAAGACTAAGGTGCACCTGACCTAAGCCATGGTATTTTCAATCATCTCATATGCATGTGAAAGCTGGACAATGAATAAGGAAGACGGAAGAATTGATGCCTTTGAATTATGGTGTTGGTGAAGAGTATTGAATATACCATGGACTGCCGAAAAATAAACAAATTTGTCTTGGAAGAAGTACAGTCAGAATGCTCCTTAGAAGCAAGGATGATGAGACTTTGTCTCACATACTTTGGACATGTTATCAGGAGGGACAAATCCCTGGAGAAGGACATCATACTTGGTAAAGTAGAGGGTCATTGAAAACGAGGAAGGGCCTCAATGAGATGGATTGACACAGTGGCTGCAGCAATGGGCTCAAGCGTAATAATGATTGTGAAGATGATGCAGGACTGGGCAGTGTTTCGTTCTGTTGTATATAGGGTCGCTATGAGTTGGAACCAGCTCGACACCTAACAACAACATAGCAGCCCAATAAAGACAGTGTTACTGAGATTTGGTCTTTCTGGAATAAAGGTTACTCTCCAGGTGTAGAACCCTGACTGTGGCTGAGGTGCTGTCTGAGGGCAAAGGGAACATGGGAATAAATAGTAGAATCAGAAATAAGAATAAGAAAATAGAAAGTAAAGTGGTAAATACAAAAAAAAAAAAAAAAACCCTCCGTTGCCATCGAGCTGATTCCAACTCACAATGACCCTATAGGACAGAGTAGGACTGCTCCATAGGGTTTCCAAGGCTGTCATCTTTTCAGAAGTAGATTACCACATTTTACTCCCATGGAGCGGCAGGTGGGTTTAAACCGCCAACCTTTAGGTTAGCAGCCGAGCTCTTTAACCACTGTACCACCAGGGTACTTTAAGTAGTAAATAGGAAGTAGAATAAGGGAGCTATAGATATACATTGCAGCCTTATGGATTATAGAAACGAGGACTGTAGAAATGCTGTGTATTTTTTTCTAGCTTCTGGTGGTAGCTAGTCTGCAAAGATGACAGCCAGCGAACCACACCTCCCACTATGCTTGTGTGTATCTGTGACTCACGTTAGCCACTGGAATTCAGTGGAAGTGATGCTGTGCCAGTTCGAGACCTAGCCTTTAAGAGGGCTGGCAGCTTTTGCTTTCTCCCTCTTGGGATACTTGCTTTTTAAAATTTTTATTTATTTATTTATTGTGGTAAAATATACACAACATAAAATTTGCAATTTAAACCATTTTCAAGTGTACAATCCAGTGGTACTAATCACACAGTTTTGTGCAACCATCACCATTATTTGTTTCCAAAACTTTTCAT